CAAGTAAAATTTCTTTAAAGGCTAATAAATACAAAGCTCACGATTATAAATATATATTCCAAAGTCTTTTTAGTTATATTTTCCTTGTGTATCTCAATCTCTCCTTTGTTTCATTCAGTTGTCCCCAAGGAGTCGGGTTTTTCTTTTGCTAAATACAAATTCAGCATTTACTACATTTCTTATAACGTGATACATGACCGGGGTAGATAAAATCATCGGTACTTTATGTTCCAGGGTCAACTAATTTTAATTACGGAAGTCTTTATAATATCAATATTGGTTAATTAAGTATTTTTGCAATAATAATAAACCCACCTTTATATTTGTCCCCATTGTAGTAATCAATGAAAATTTCATTAAGGGTCTTCGTTTGAAAAAGCATAACCTTGGGTCCTCGCAGAGCAAATAATAGATAATTGACATTCTAAAATAAAAATAAAAACATTGTCTTTATTTTCTTTGTTTGGTAAAAAACCACATTTATTTGCTTTGGTGAGCAAGCAAACAAGCAATCTAATGTTAGGACTAACGTTGGTTAACTAGTGAGTGTTAACAACAATTAGTAACGTAATTTGCTTTAACGAGCAAGCAAACAAGGTTAAGACTAACATTGGTTAACTAGTGAGTATCAATGAAGTATTGTCCAAATGTTAATCGGAAATGCTGGTGGTGTTATTGTAATCGTAAACGTAAGACTATTAAACAAGCTGCTTGAGTTGATTTGCAAATAAATAAACCAAAGCGAGACCAATAAATGTAACAAGGGTAAATGAATAAGTCGGTCACAAGTGAATAAAAGGAACTTTATAGAAGTCCTCGAGCATTGTAAAGATCCATCTTTGTATCATTAAGTGTGTTTACAAATTTTATCTAGGTGCAAGAAAGAGAGAACCAAAGTAGATTCGTAAACTAATTAATTGACAACATCAAGTTATTTGCAATTAACTGGCCATTTAACAAGAATCAGAAAATTGTAAAAAGTATATTATTTCAAAGTAAGGTTACAATATAAGAAATAAAAAAAGGATAATATAAAAAGATAAATAAAAAGATAATGAATAAATTTATAGTGGAGATTAAATTAATCATTCATCAATTCTTTCTTTGACTATCATTGTTAGTAATAATTAATGGATAATAATTTCTAATTAACTAATAATTCACCTTTGTTAAAATCAACATTTAGGAAAAAGATTTAAAATCAAGATTATTTAACGAACTATCATTACTTGTATAACTTTTTAAACTTTTAGATTTAGCAATCTCTTCATCTAATATTCTACTTGTATTATATGCATCCGGATGTGATTTGTGCGTTTGTTGCGAACCACCACCACCACCACCACCACCACTGCTTTTGAATAATCTTTTTATTAAACTGTTATTATTTATAAGTTTTTCTTAATTAAAAAAAAAGATCCTTTGCCCTGATCTTTTTCTCGTGTTTATTTATCCCAGATTAAATGTCAATCGGATCGATTAGATTTTTTTTTTCCAAGTCTATCGTTATAGAAGAATAAGCATCGTCAAAAGTTGTTTACAAATTTCGATTGTTAAAAAAAAAATCACTATGCAAAGATTAATCAATTGGAAATTAAAATAAAGTTTTTCCTATCCAGATCATCCACTATCTCTCAAATGGTCAAAATCAAAAAAATTTGTACATATTAATAATAACAACAACAAAATAAAATATGAAAAGTGTTTTTGAATCCCCTCGTGACCCGAAAATATACTAACACTATCACGTTTTGTGACAAGTCTTTGACGATCTGGGATCTGGAGTAAAGACTCCAAGGCAAGGCCATAGGTTTTTGGCCATTTGAAACATTAGAGTAAGACGAAAACCTAACAGTAGACACCATGCAAAAATCATCCAATGCGAAACGTGATTTTCTTCAGTCAAGTATCTGCTTCGCTCAACCCTGACGTTTTGAACAAAAATAGATAAATTTCCAAATAGATAGCAATGGGAATTCGCATGACACAGCGATGTAAAAATAAACACAACCATTTATCATTTTTGGAAAAGAAAAAACAACACATTACCTTTGGATTTTGATCTCATCCTTCTCCAACAATCCAGTTTACTAAAGTTGAACAACAAAATGTTTAGAAGGTTCGGGATTCGTTCATTGAATTTACCGTTTCAAGTCTTAACCAGATTATTTCCCGTACAACCAAAACATTTCAAAAAAATATTACACAAAATATCTAATATAAAAATCTACGACTAGAAAGGCAACCTTTCTTTCTTTTATGTATGTTAAAAGAAATAAATAATGTAACAGTTATTCTCAAAAATTCTCCACATTCATTAAAACACCAAGTCGAATTTTATATTTTTATATAATGTCGTATGTTAAACTATTATCATTGTTATCACCAGAAAGAAAGAAATTTGTGTTTAAAATTAATAGTGAAATGCGTAATAATGCGGTGGCTAATTCTGATAAAGAAAGTAGAAAAGATTATTTTTTTTCATTAGTCAAAGAAAACAAGGAACTTTCTGAAAATGAAAAAGAATATTGTAATGAAAGGATTATTTATGATTTTGAATTAAATAATGCAAGAAATAAATTGGGAAAATCAAAAGAATGCAACAAATGTAAGTTGACAAAATATTCTGATAGATTCTGTGAAGGTTGCATTAGTTTACAATTACAGAATCTTTTCACCACTTGGTCATCTGGAAATAACATAATTGATAATTTTATTCAACAATGTCAAATGATATCATCTCTGCCAAACCAAATTTTAGAATGGATACCTTTTGAGCAATTTAAAAAAGTAACAAAGTTAACTGAAGGTGAATTTAGTTCGATTTTTATTGCAGAATGGATAAGAGGAAGAATTACTGATTACAATGATAGTAAAAAGGAATTTAGTTATTTAGGAACACAAAAAGTAGTATTAAAAAGTTTAAATGATTCAAGTAATTCAGGAAAAGGTTTTCTTGATGAGGTTGGTAGTTGTCATTTAAAATAAGAATAAACAAAACTATATTATATAATACTAATTGATTTTATTTATTTTCAGACATTGAATTATTGTAAAATTAAATCACCCCTGATTATTAGTTGCTATGGTCTAACTAAATTCCTAGATAATGGAAATTATGCAATTGTTTTAAATTATGCCCCAGAAGGAAATTTAAGAAGTTATTTGCAAAAAAATCATTTAAATTTAACATTAAAAGATAGAATTACAATCTTTTATTATTTATGTGCTGCATTGGATGAAATACATAAAAAAGATTTAATCCATTGTGATTTACATAGTGGTAATATACTTGTGGAAGGAGGCTATTGTTGTATTACAGATTTGGGATTATGTGGACCAGTTGGTGAAAAGTCATCAAATAAAGTCTATGGAATTGTACCATATATTGCACCTGAGCTACTTAGAGGCAAAAAGAAAACAAAAGAAACAGATATCTATAGTGTTGGGATGTTAATGTGGGAAATATTTGCAGGTCATCCGTCATTTGATGATAAAGCTCATGATTATCATTTGATTTTTGATATATGTGAAAAAGGTTTACGACCACCAATATTACCTGAAATACCTGATGATTATGCACAAATGATGAAGAGATGCTGGGATGTGTATCCATCAAAAAGACCAACTAGTGAAGAGCTTGCTATTTTTGTTAGAAACAAACATAATGAAATTTTTAAAAATGATAATAATACTACTAGTAGTGGTAGTAGTGGTTCACAACCAGCACACAAATCACACCCAGATGCATATCACACAAGTAGAATTTTAGATGGTGAGATTGCTAAATCTAAAAATTTATACAAGTAATGATAATTTGTTAAATAATCTTGATTCTCTAAATGTTGACTTTAAAAAAGGTGGTGGATAAATTTCATTATTAATTAATTGAAAATTAATTTATTACTAACAATATTAATTAATTAATTAATGAAATTAGATTCTAGTAACAATAGTAGAAGAAAGGATTGATGAATGACTAATTTAATCCTCACTATAAATTTATTCATTACCTTTTTATTTATCTTTTTTATTTTATCCTTATTTTATTTTTATCTTGTAACAATATTTTGAAATAATAAATTTTTACAATTTTCTGATTCTTGTTAAATGGCGATGTTATGAAGTATCATTCTGGTTGACTATGGCTTAACTTTTGGGCTTGAATTATTACTCAAAAGATTACAAAGGCATGCTGAAAAAGTTCTACTGTATCTTCACCTAGACACCCTATGGAGGATTAGTAAAACTTTCATAAATCTAATAAATTCATACAAACTTTAGAAAAAATAAGCTAATTAATTATTACACATATCTGATGATTTTCCACTATATGCTGAGAATATCTGAATCAAGATTATTTACCTCTAAATATCTGCATCATATATGAGATGATCGGCAAAAAATCTAGAATTGATTTCTATATTTGGTATATTCCCTGACTGTATAGTGCAGGACACCTAGTCCCTACAGCTTTTATTAGTCTTGCAAATCCTTTAATTCCTCCAAAAATGGAAATGTGTGACCAAAAAAACAAGATGACATTTTGAAGCTAAGACCTTTTTCTACAAAATGACATTTTCATTTTGTTGATATGCCATGTTGTTGTGGAGGAATTAAGCCTTAAAGTTGCACAATTTTAACAAATTTACTATGTTAATCCCCCAAAGTGACGTGTTACACGCAAATTTTTTATATTAAAAATGAATGAATTGGAAGAATTGAAAATTTTGAAATCTGTATTACAGATCTTTTATCACGTGATACTAATAAAGAGAATGCAACGTGACAAACCTATTTTAAAACACGTGACTGTAAAAATTTTATTGCATTTTTGATTGTGAATTTTTTCCCAAATCTGTTGCTGTGGCGCAGAAAGTTGTAGGGACTAGGTGTCCTGCACCATACAACACATGATCACGTACCCTTTTTGATTGTAATATATATAAAAAATTCTCTTGCTACTCACAAACTCTCTAAACTGCAACACCATAGCTTTGATGGCAGGAATTAAAGTCAGCTCATATTTTATCAATATATCACCTGAAAAATGGAAAATTTCCGAGTTTTACAAGTATCGCCAGCAAGGAAATGACTTTACCAGCTCGTTTTGGAAGGAAGCTTTTATACTTAGGAGATCTCTCAATTATCTTATGAAAGGAGACTCATCAGAAGTCAAGAATTATGCTACTCTATTGGATAAAAATTTCAAGGCACGTAATGTTTGTTTCTGAGGGCCTTAAAAATGGTTTAGAGCACTCTCTACGACTAGAAGAGGTCTTCGTGCCATCTCTTTGATGATCTTCATGTTCGTCATAGAACTTTTATGGAGGTGATAAACTCACATAGCTATGGAGAATATCTTCGCGCTATTCTCCTGATGATCTTTGTGTTCGCTGTGGTCCACATATAATATTAACATTAAAAGACCTCTTAATTTGTGGCCAAGGCTAATAATCTTCTATTTGTGTATTGAAAGGGTCATCGTACAAGTGATATGGATTCAAAGTTATTCTGGGACAAGATCGAGTTACAATTAGATTTTCATGCTGAAATTGAAATGAGAGAGAGGGAGATGCAGTTAGCCGAGGTTAGCAATATTTTCTGTTATTTGATTCAAAGAGGTTATATACATAACTGTTAACTGCATCATTTCTCCTACAGGTTGGGACAGCAACTGGCATTATGAAAAGGATTGATGGAGGAGCTCTGTTATGGATAAAATTTTGCATGATACTGACTAAGACGGTGTACTCATTATTGTATTCTCTATATTATTAAGAATGAATGTTTCATTCAGACTGATGAATGGGTCCCAACGAAATGGAAAAAAATGGATTATTTTTCAGTCACTCCTCTCCAACGTGAACAGGACCAACCACCACATCCTCCTCCAGATCAAATCTATTCGTTAGGTGCTTTGTCAAATGCCTTCGTCCCCCCTTAGTAATTATATTCTAATTCGCAATAATGTCTTTTATAAGCCTTTTTGACATGTCATAACACAAGGATGAACCATAACAGTGCGATAATGAAGAATCACATGTTCAAGAGTTCTCGGATTCGAATACATGGTGAGTCTTGGTATAACAGATATGTTTGTTCCAGGAAATTTATCCGCTATACCGAGTCATCTGTAATACCGAGATATCCACAAAAAATTGAATTTTTGATTAAATCATGTGATACATGTTGCGTAAATAATTTTATTTTTAAATAATATGAATGCAAATAACAATGATGGTAATAAAAATACATTTGGTAAAGTTTTTTAAAAAAAAACCATTCATTCACTTAAAACGTTGACATTATAATAGTCTTCCATTATTGTTTGCACTTGTTCTTGAGAATTTTTGCAAGAAATTTCACTTTTAATCTTTTGACATTTCTAATTACTTGAAAATCAACATCTAAAATTTTTTTGCTGTACATATTTAAGTATAGTTTCCGAAGCTTTTATAGCCTCCATATTAATGATCATCAGCTCAGGTTCATTTGTTTCATTTGTTTCATCGTCATCAACTTCACTTTGTCCTTTTACAATATTTACGATTTTAGCATATAAAGAAATAAAAGAAAATGACATATTGATATTGACAATGCTAAGAAATAGCTAGAAATATGTTAGATTAAATTGTGGATGTATTGCTGATTATTACAATTTATTTCTAAATATTAATATTCAATAATTGCACGTCATTACTCATATTGGCCCAAAATAGTAAAGATCATCATTATCCATAATATCGAGAAAAATTTATTATAAGTGACATATATGAATTTTTAAAAAATATCCGGTAAACCGAATTTATATGAAAAATCCGTTAAATCCGTTAAACCGAGATAAAATTGTTATGGAAAAATTTGGTTTTGAAAATTTATCCGCTAAACCCCAAATCCGCTATACCGAGGTCCGCTATACCGAGACTCACTGTGTATTATCTTTATCATTAATTATCCTAAATATCATTACATATCGTAAGATAACATAATTATCGAAAATTATCTTATTTCATTAATTTCCGATTTTTTTATTGAGATAATTAAATATCTGTATTCCGTATATTTATTAATAATAACTAATAATAATAAGAAAATTTTGTTTAAAATCCGCTGTGGCAAGATTACTAATTATAATAATAATTATTTGCGGTTAGATGGACAAAAATCATTTAAAAAACTTGATCCATTTGGTTTTATTTTTCTTATTATTATTATTATTATTGCCGCTATAAACAAAGCCACACATATTATAACAAAATAAGTTAGAGATTAATATTAAGCATAATCATTAAAATAGTGGTACAGTCAAACCTCGCTTCAACGAATTATAATTATTAAAATTCGTTGAAACGCGATTAGTAATTTTGGTATAACAAATTTTAGACGCAATTTTCTTTATGAAACGAAGTTTACTGTAATGATAAACAGGTCACTCATTCATTACCTTTAATCTCGCTTTGCTCTCCTCTCTGATTAATAAAATGATTTTCAAATCAGCATAAAAATAATAAACAATTAAATATGAAATTATTATATTGTTTTAAAAAAGATTCTAATAGGGCGTGAATAATCTATTCCTTAAATTTTAAGCATCCGATTAACAATTGAATTAATTATACGCGTATACCAAAAAAGGCAATCGTTTTCACATTCAAATTTTAAGAGTTGTTCCTAAAAAGACTTGGTCGATCTCTTTGTGAAGTATTCTCTTGATCGATCGATTTCTAAATTAGCCATACGAATTATTAGTATCATGTTTCCATTTTCAAGGAACCTAATCGATTTCTTTAATGAATTTACAATTCGCATGTGTAGAGATGGGCAGATCAGTACTATACGTATAATACTATACGTATAGTGATATGTATAGTGCGTATAGTTCTAGAAATATATAGTAGAAAATGTAAATCAATTCCTGTTTAGGTTATTGCCAAATAATAGATGTAATATTACACATAAAAATTAATTAATACTCT